AATGAACCAAAAATGTTATATACATTTTTAAGTTTTTCTTGTACTCTAAGACTGAGATTTATGAAACGAACTTTGAGTATAGACAAGTAAAAACGGCGAGCTAAGCGATTTTTCCGTATTTAAAAACGAACTTTGCCTAAGTTTAAGCAAAAAATTACGTCAAATTCGCAAAGTTCAATTCAATTTTGTGCTGAAACTTGTTAGTTCTGGGGGTGCTGCTGGTGCTGCGGGCGTTCTGGTGGATTGTAATAAAAAAGTATGTAGCCTGGATAGCAGTAATAGCCTCCGCAGCCTCGCAGCCTCCAACATCTTATTTAGTAAATTTAGGAATTCAAACGTTGAAAGTCCAGTTTATAGATATTTAAACGATTCAAAAAGATAAATAATGGTATGTTCGCTACCGCAGTCGCGCAGAGTGACGATGGAAAGAAACATAATTAGAATGCGTGGTAAAATGGTAAAAATTTTAAATTTAAATATGAGTAGAAGAAGAAAAAACGATACGAATGGAGAGAGGCGATATAAAAAGATGGGATGACGGTATAAGGAGGTCACATCGTCACAAGTTTAAGCAAAAAATTACGTCAAATTCGCAAAGTTCAATTCAATTTTGTGCTTAAACTTGAGCAAAGTTCATTTTATAAATACGAAAAACTCGCTTAGTTCGCCATTTTTGCTTATTTAAAGTCAAAGTTCTTGTTATTAATCTAAGCCTTAGAGCGTTGGCACACTAGATACGTCCAATTCGTACACGGAATCCGAGAAATGATGGTCCGAAATGTCCCAAGGATCATTTTATCTCTATGTGTACAAGCGATATTCGTATCGGACTTAGTGCACAAGCGACATCCAAAGTGGATCCGAGTTTTCTAGATTTCCATAGTCTTGGATTCGGAACAAAACGAATAGAATGGAATGTGCAAATGCGCTAGGACACTTTTTAAATCGGTATTTGTTAGTAAATTATTAAGTTCAAACGTTAAAGCGTCTTCCCCGACGACGACTTATAAAGACTTTATTGGACAACAAAACAAATCAGAAATGTCAAAAAACAATTCAAAATATTAGTGTACAAAGGCGAGCTTATGCCATAAGAAACTTCTTCTAACTAATCTTTCTGTAGTATGTACCTTCTCCAACATTTACCTTATTTCCTCATTATCACATAAAGCTCTAGGTACTTCTTCTCATTATCACATTGTAGCTCTACTCAGAACTAATTTAATTAAAGTGACCCTCTTTCGTAAGATTGGGCAAAACCGACTTCTTCACAAATGACTAAGTATTCGTAACACATACCGACTTTCGGTTTCAATTTGGTATTACGCAGTGATTAACATGTCAACGGGGAAACAAAGAGACCGATTTGCGCTGCTACACCCGTGTTCTTACTTTCCTTAGCTTGTACGCAGAGTGGCAAGTCAAGTTCTATGCTAATTAGGTTAAGGAAGGGATAATACTGCTATTTTAAATTTGTTTCGGAATCATCATCCACATCATTAATTTATCTATGCGTTCCACTGCTAGGCACGGGTCTTTTTCAGGCATGGGTTTATTATTTTTTAAATAATTGGTCATTTTATAGTGAAACGTGAATAGAAGATATAGTTTGACTCATTTGTTTTAGGAGGCACCACGCTTATCGCATTAAACAGGTGAAAATAAGGTTTGAGTGGAATTCAATCATGCAACGCCTTTTTCGCTCTTATTGCATGAAAATAAAGATTTTTCTGCCCAGCTCAAGCCTCCTACTTCATTCCCTCCCACATTCTTTATTGCACCTAACACTTTGTTTTAAATAATCAAGCGACGGAACGAACAAGTTGTACGGCTGGTAGTAAGTGACACGCCTACCCATAACATTTGCTGTGCTACTCAGACTAAAAGTGAGAACAAAAGTCATAAGCAGGCAACAGCGTGCTAAAGAGAAAGAGGGAGAAATTTGTAAACAAACGTAAGTGAAGCGGACATTTTATTAAAACCAACTTCTGCTCTGTCCCGATTCTTTTCTTCCAATACAAAAAATCATTCTTACAAGAAATTGAGTCTGCATTAAAAATCCAATCAATTTTGTTCATTTTATGTGAAAAATATTTTTGTTAAATTTGACCAATTTCTGTTTCTATTTTAATCGTCCTTTACAATGAAACGATCCTTATAAGAAGCTGAATCTATCAGAAAAGAATAGAAAAAAAATCAATTTTATTCATTTTGCATGAGAAACATTATACGAAATTTGGCCAACTTCTGCTGTTTCAAATTTCCCGATACTGTCCCATTTAAAAAACACAAAAAATATTGAAATATTTATAAAATAAGTAAGAGAGTTTAGCAGGAAAGTGCGCTATCAACCTTTTCTTGAAGTAAGCAATCGACTTATTTACCTACAATACCTTCACTACAAAGTTATCGGAATTAAAAAAAGAACTTGGGATATTTTGATCATGCTCTCTTTTGGAGTCACTGCCATGGGCGGGCCGACAGGGGAGTCTCATTACCATGTCTATCTCATTACCATTTCCATGCCCATTTCGTTCTGCCAGGCATTGTTCGACAATTAGCCGAACGGCACCTACCTATACTACACCAGTTACGTAAACCTGTTACCATGGTAATGACTCAATATTTGTAACTGGAATTTCCCAGATGTGCAATATTTGCTACCAAGTCGTGCCCTTTGTATAATAAAGTCACATGTGAATAGGTCAACAGTGCTTTTATCACATGAAAGTAATTATGCATAATGTGAAAGTTTATAACTCTCTAAAAAAAGTTATCGACTAATTTCGCTCGTACCATCTTTAAACCTCTCTCCTGAAAAGTTGCAATTTTGCAAATGTGGCCTTATTTATTTATTTTTAATAATATTTCTTATTTTTTTCTTTTTTTTTTATTAAATAAAAATACAGAGTATTTTTAAAATAATAACAACCACAAAGGACTGTATAATTAACATCATAAACAACTACGTTTGTTCCATGACTTTTTAAAAAACGTAATATAATTACCAAAAATAAAAATTTGCTTTTTTGTTGTACCATTTGACACTTTTTAGGTCAGTATTTGGTAGAATAAGTTTAAACGTGCAAGCGTCTTCCGCAACGGTTCCCAACCCCTTCACAGAGTTACCTATTACCTTTTAGAGCGATCTATTTAAATCTAATTATTTTTGTATGAAAGTAAAATATGATGAATTATTAAAAGTCAAAGAACTTAAAGTTGTTGTTTATGATGTTAGTAAAGTCCTGAGAGGTTGTTAACGTTTTAAAAATAATAACCCTATATATCGATGGGTTCTAAGTATAAAGGCCAAACTAACAATTTGATCATTTTCACTTCACCCATATGTATAACAACAAAGTATTAAGTATTTTCAGGAAACACTGCTCTCATAGATATTCCCAATACACTCACATGTAATTCACCAACACTATACATACTGTCAAAGACAAAATGTAGAATAGCATTGCGTCTATACAGTGCAAAAATGGAATTAAAAAAATGTGACCTTATTACACCAATACTGCGAAGTATTCATGATCACCGAAATATGCATATAGCTAAGTATAGATTACTTGTGATTTATGTAATTACAGATTTTTTCAGTAAATAATCTCAGTACAGAGTACTAAAAAACCGACCTCATAAGTTCGTGGAATCCATTGACTTAGGTGGAATCTAATATATTTGCCAAATTTTATTGATATCGTTTTCCGGAAAGCGCGCGAAACCGGACTGACTCCCTAGTTTGTCACCCCTAAAAGTGGAATGTTTTCTTCAAATTTAAATGGGACCACTACTAAGGTGTCCTCTTTCCAACAAAAAAAGAATCATCGAAATCGGTTTACTAATTTACGAGTTATTGCGTAACATACATACAAAAAAACATGCAGTCGAATTGAGAATCTCCTCCTTTTTTTGAAGTCGGTTATTAAAGAAGTTTGATGTTATGATTCATGAGTGGATGAATGTACAATGACTAAGACTATGATAGTAGTAGTTAGTACAAAAAGACGAATATAGAGGGAACAAGAAGAAGATGAAGACCAACAACAGCACACAGTGAACAAATAAAGGATAACGTCAAAGTGAGCAGCTATTATAGAAATCGAGACCTCTTGCTATGGACCGAGAGGAATGGAGTAGGCTACACCAATAAGAGCCAGGTTCTACAATTATTGTACAATACACACGTACCTAATTAATAGTTTTTTGTTGCAGACCACCAAACCTGGTCTCACATTAAGGATTTCCCAATACCATATTTTTTTTGTAATACCATGTAGCAGAACGAACAAGTTGTGCGCCTGGTGGCAAGCGACACGTCTGTCCATAGTAGTTTAGTAGCAGTAGAGTTCCTTGTGAAAGAGTTCGTCCAAAGAATTACTGCCACCTTACCTATTTCTGCCGCCAAACAATAATGTCAGCATTATTGTGTTCCGGTTTTGAAGGGTAAGAGTGCTGGTGAAATTACAGGCACTTGAGACTTGTCAACTTACTCAAATCTTTGCGATTTAAAGCTCTGAGTGGCACTGCAACTGTTATGGACAGGCGCGTAGCTTACCATCAGGCGCCCGACTTGTTCGTCCCGTCACATGATATTATAAAAAAAACTGAAATTGCATAGGTCACTGCAATGAAAGGGCACTGCCATCGCGCCGGTCACCATGAGACATAAGTAGACAAGTCCCTGTGCCTGTAATTACACCAGCACCCTTAACCTTCAAAACCGGAACGCAATAATGCTTGCATTAGGTACATTAGGTACTGCTTAGCGGCAAAAAGAGGTGAGTTGGAAGTACTTCTCTGGTTTTTACAAGGAGCTCTATTGCTACATAAAAATAACAAAGTCTACTCCTGAGACTCTACCCAGAAATGAACCAATTTAGGATATTGATCCTACCGGGAACCAGGGCCCACTTGTACCGTACCGATAGTGCTTACTACTAAGGACACCGAGGACATAATTTCGAAAATGTGGTTAAAAAAATGTATCTTACCTTATCAGCTTCAGACACTCTTAATATGATCTTTAGACGTGAGTTATTTTTCCTGTACTCCTTCAGCAGAGTATCGAGCTTGTCGCCCCTAGCGTCTCCTGCGTACACCAGATGCGTGCACTCTGTAAATCCGTCTGCGCGTGCGCTGTCCGCGTAGCAGACGAATCGCGCTGCGCCCGCGCCACCGCCCGTAACGCCCGACACCGCGACCGCGGTGACTAACAAAAACCAACCCCACATCCTGAATTAAACCGTCATTTCATGAACTTCGCTATGAAAGATTCGATTTGTTAGAATATAAGAGAGAACTTTTAATAGTTTCGTTATATAGTTTATGGTTCTCGATTTTGAATTTCGTTTTTCGAGTATGCGCGTTGGCCGCGTGATAGGCTGCGCGCGAGTGGCTGGTCTGTGCAGCCGTACGCGGTCTTAGCGCCCCCGCCCTACGCTCAGTAGCCGCAAGGTCGTGCGCTCACTGCAACTGGAGCTTGCGGTGCTCCGCACGAGAGCGACAGAAAAGCTGCTGCGCGTGCGCAACGGTGCTCACTCATGTGTGACACTATAATGTCATTTACTGCAACGAACTATTTGCATTATTTATCGTGCGAGGTATGTTAATTACTTATGAAACGTTATCTGCTAATTACTGCCCGAGTATCTTGTACAAAGTTTATTTGGTTTAAAAATAACAGACTAAAATAACCGTAAGTGTTCAAGAAAAAAAATTGATTACACAGCAAAGTAATTGCTTCGTAGCTATTTTTTTAAACAAAACCTATTACCTTTTTCAAAAAAGGAGGTTCTCAAAGTCAAAGTTAAATAATCGTTTATTCCATAAGTAAAATTTTCACCAATGAAAACGTCATTTCTTAAGCTACTTTTTAAACTGACTACCCTGAGAAGAAAGAGCAAGAAATTCCAGGAATTGCTGTTTTAAAATAAACTTAAATGCTATGGAATACACTTTGAATCATAATTGTGTGGAATATAGACTCTTGTTGTCTTTCCATACTTCTTTACTTAAAACATACTCTTCAATTTTGTAAAATGACATTTCAACTAAAATACTTTTAATGTACGTTTTAAACTTAGGAAATGATAATCTCTAATATATTCTAGGAAATGATAATCTTAATATATTAGGAATCTTATTGTAAAAACTTATACAGTTCCCCATAAAAGAATCGTTTACCTTAGTTAAACGAAATTGTGGTACCATGAGTTTGGACTTAGTTCTAAGGTTAATATTATGGATATCTTCTTTCTTAATGAAATTATGTATATTTTTATGGGTACACAAAATATTTGAGTAAATGTACTGTGATGCCTCAGTCATGATACCAGTCTCCTTAAACTTTTCTCTGAGAGAAACCCGAGAGCCTAGACGGTACACAGAACGAATCGCTCGTTTTTGCAACACAAATATGGTCTATTCGAATGGACTGTTTTGTGTATAATTACGCGATTGCTCCCATATTTCTGAACTGATTTCGATGGTCTTTTTTATTGGAAAGGGTGTAAACTCGTGGTCACTACTGACCACTCACTGGGACCAATGTGGTACCAATAAAATTTTAAAGAAAATACTCCACCAAAGCATGAAAAATTAGGGCATGCACCCAGTTTATTGGATTTCACGCATTTTCCGTTAACCGATTTCAAATAAAACTCGGCAAATAGATATAATTCTACAAACTTTTGAAGTTATTTTTTTTATAAAAAAATTGTGATTATTCGAATTTTATCTTGTTTTTCTACTTTCAAACAAAGGCTTTAGCAAGGCAAATCAAAACCTCCCTACTGCATTGTTCTTGTTTTGTTGCGTGTAACAAGTGGAAACATAAAAAAAAAACGTTAAAAAGTGTTGTTGTCCATGACATTACATGACACATGACAGCCATTGCAATGTAAATAAAATACTGTAGGCAACAAAGGTTGTGATATAATAATCACACAGCCAGTCATGTGCTGTAATGCGAGCGACCGAATTATGATGATCGATTGCATCGACATGTCACCTCGCCGTTCAGATTACTTTTACTGACTTAGTTCTTGCTTAGAACGCAATAAATGTAATATAACGCAAGTTCTTGTGTTTCGTTTGCAAAATAATATAATAATGTAATGTGCCAAACTACAATACCGTTTTTACCAATCAATAATTTAGTAGCAGTAGAGTTTCTTGTGGAGGGGAAGAGTTCTTCCAAGGAAGTACTGGCTACATAAAAGATATGAGGTCTGCTTACTCGTTTCGTAACTCACTTGGTAAAGCTATAGCCCGCGTTATGAGAAAATGTCGCTGGTTCCGATGGACTGGTCCAGCCGGATCGAAAGGATTTTTCTTTGAGTTTGTTCGATCTGTCAATCATCATCAATTATTGTGATAGATAGATAGATAACACGTTTATATCTTTTTGCATCTATCTATCTAATGATAAGTCTATTTAGCCATTGCGATTCTTGATACTACTGACACTTGAGCCATTGGTTATGAAATTGCATAGGTAACAGTTATTAGCAAAAACTATAAAAAATAACATATCTATTTATGACTTACCTATTTTTACCGCTCAGCAATAACGAGAGCATTACTGTGTTCCGGTTTTGAGTAGTAAGGAAGCTTGTCAAATTACAAGCATATGAGATTTATGTCTCAGGGAGACGGGCGACTTGAAGCTCTGACTAGCACTGCAACTGTTATGAATAGCCATGTGTCGCTTACCACCAGGCGCACGACCTGTTCGCCCCATCACTTCATATCATAGTAAGTATAATGTAATCATAATAATAATAATAACGCACACACTCAACATAGCCCCGCACTAGGGAAGCCCTGTGTCGCGGGTGCCATGGACACACACATGGACAATCACAAATTACACCCAAACTCACGAGAGAAATAGCTGTAGGCCATACAATATTTCTCCCTGCCCGGGAATCGAACCTGGGACCTCTGCTTGGGAGTCCGGCATGGTAACCGTTCGGCCACGGAGGCAGTTTAGTAAGTCCTACTGAGGAGCATGGTGTTCTCGTGGAAAGATCGATGTTTATTTTTAATATATCAGATTACTATTTAACATAGTTGAATTATGCGTTAGTAATAACAGTCAACTTAGATATGTCATTTTGTTACCTACCTCAACAGTAACCCACATCTATTTCTAAAACAAAAACGAACAAACAAACACTCGCACACTGTTTTGTATTATTGATATAAAGATAACAAAATCCTAACTCAGCATGATAAACATTTTCTGTTCTTATCAACCAATATAGGTACGCTGAGTTAGTCAGTTATATGCCGATTGGGTTTGAGGCTGCCGTACGAATAGTACACCACAATAATACAAAATGTCATTTTCGGGAAAGAAATTTAGGAGAATACGAAGTGAGAATATTGACGAGCTAATGAAGGAAACTAGTGAGTGTAAAGTTTATAATTTGTGTCTGCTTGTTTGTTCTGTAATCTAGCAGATTTGCGCAGTCAGTTAAATGATGAGTGGCAGTGCAAATATTATGAGTGATAAGCGACAAACTCATTTCTTTTTCGATAAATAGTGGCTGTGAGCAAAACACGTTCTTATTTTGTCATGCTTACATTTGAAAATGCTACTTTGTCGTTAATTCCCATTCCACCGTAAGTTAATCCGGAATCTTTACGTATGTGAGAAAAAATTGATAGTTTTTTCTCACAAACGTAAAGAATTTGTTCTGCGGCTTCTCCAGTGGAAAAAATATAATAAGCATACCAAATGTGAAAGGACCAAAATAATGACGATTTTTATACGTTTGTACACAAAATATTAAAAAAGTATAGGCATAAAATATTGGTACTTGGCAAGTTAAAAAAATTCGTCTTCGGATAAATCCGATTAAATTTATTTGGAAAGTGGAATTTTTATACGTACAGGGTCAAGAACAAGTCAATCTTGACAACTTGGAGATTTAAATTCAACTCTATACCGCTTGCGATAAGAGCTGTCGAATCAAGCTTAATTTGCTTTAAACATTTTAGACTTTTCAACTATTTCAGAATAGATTTGATCCTGGTGGCGAGGCTGTAAAATAATTATTTTATTTTACACGTGATTGCAGAAAATACCAGAATAATATTTTTTTCAATCTTATCTTTTTTTGTCCTTTTACGTAGTGGCACCTTGACCTAAGAATTTGCTAATGATAAGGCGCCATTTGTAGTTTAGTTGCTACACAAACATCGCTATACTCTGTGGCACCTTGTAGTCACTGAAGTGTATAATGTGACATTCTAATGATATTTAGTATGTGCGAATAACAAAGTATTTAATAGACGTTACTTCGCCATCTCCATGTTAAGTCCATGTTAATAAAAATGGAAGTAAATTAATTTGCTACTTGTGTTGGTTTTTTATGCAGTTAATTTTCCCACCCTCCATCCGCATTAAATTAATAAAAATATCATTCTTGGGCCAGTGTATTATATATTTTATGTTGGATAGGTAATTTAGTAGCAGTAGAGCTCCTTGTGAAAGAGTTCGTCCAGGTTACCTATTTCTGCCGCCAAATAGTAATGTTCTGATGAAATTACAAACACATGGGACTTATCAACTATAGGTGACGGGCACAGCGGCAGTGTTCCTCAGATTTAAGCTCTGAGTGGCACTGCAACTGTTATCGACAGGCGTGTCGCTTACCTTCGCGAACAAGTTCGACGAACAAGACTTGTTCGTCCCGTCACTTTATATCATAAAAAAAATTACTGCGTGAAAAAAAAATCAACAGAAGTACAGCAATTTTGTACGATTTAACCCTCAATGTCAATTAATTGGCTTCCATTTTTATTAAAACTTTATATGTTCCTAAATACGACATTGTCTTACCATATGCAAAACATTTTATATTCGATCGCAGCTTTACTGTTGTCGCCGACTCTACCCAAAGGAAAACGGTTGTTACGAATCTTCGTTTTCTAGGAGTCGTCTTACAAGTAGTCTATGAAAGAATTATTGCAGTGACGGTGCACAGCCAATTACATACTTCATCTTCGCTCCACCATGTACAATGCAAAATGTGCAAACCTTAACAATTCACGTACAGAACATATCTTAAATCTTTCTCCAATATACTCACAAAACGAAACCTTACGTCTTTCATTTATTCGGGGCAATATTATATACGCTTCGATAATAAGATCCCTGTTGATATTGAATATTTATTATCATTAACGTGATTTTAAGCTATCGTGAAACAGTGATTTAAATAGTTTTTGCGTACTTGGACGGTTAAAATTAGTAGAAGCGATTTACACAATATTTCAGGTTGTTTCTATATATGATATTTGAAATAATATTGTAGATCAACGATACTCGTAAAAAGAGCAACCCTTAGAATTTCTCGCTAATTCATCTCAGGCTCTACCTCTCAGGATCTGCATTACGAATGAGTATTTAATCCATGTGACTTTTCAAGAGCAATTTGCTTCTCTGTGAAGTAAAGATATATTGAATTTAGAAAACTTTATCGAATGTTCTTGGACAATAAGTTTTCAATATAATGTAAGTATTGTATGTCATATAGTCTCCATCGCGGAACGACTAGTCTCCAAATAAAACGACAAATCATAGCATCACAAAATTTTAAATTTTATTTGGAATTAATTTTTATAGATTATATTAGTTAAGATATAAGTAGTTGGTGTACACTCCGCACATCAGCCTAGCGCAGCAAGCGAACAACTACAGATGAAGACTGAAAATCAGCAATGCTGTTTACCACTTTAGCCTTTGTGTCAACATTACTCAATTGTATTTTCTGTTGGCCTTTAATTATTGTAATTGTGTTTTGTGGAGAAATAAATATATTTTAATTTATTTATTAAGTCTGTATATTTCCTTAGATGTAAGTGAACACACGTTACAGCTGCTGAAAAGCAGCGCACCTATATTTTCGTTCACGCGGGAGGATGACCAAACTTTTACCTTCGTGCTGCAGACAGGGGACAAGACCATGACGAGTACCTTCAAGCTCGGCGAGGAGCATGAAATGGAACGTAGAGATGGTTCTAAGGTATGAAAGTTACAGGGATGAACTCAGAGCTTTAAATCACAAAGATCTCAGGGGCACTGCCAATGCGCCCGTCACCTTGACACGTAAGTTAACAAGTCCCACATGCCTGTAATATCATCAGCTCCCTCAGCCTTCAAAATCAGAACGTAATGATGCTCACATTACAGCTTGGCGGCAGAAATAGGTAAGGTGACAGTACTTCCCTGGCCGAACTCTTTCTCAAGGAGTTCTACTGCTACATTTTTTTTTAAAGAGTTCTGTCTGTTACAACCACGGGAAGAGGTTTCCAATTTCATAAAGTAATAAAATCAGGAATCGAAGAAATCGAAGAAATCGAAGGAATTTTTTCTGAGTGTTCGGTCTTTGTATTAATAATTATAACAAACTAGTGGAGTAATTTCACAAAAAATAATTGAACATCAATAAAAATTTAATTAATACAGTGAATAGCGTCATCTCTCGCCAGGACTGGTAGCTGTAAAGGTACTAACTGGGTGATAAATCTGTCATAGATTTCTCATAGATGGCGCTAAGACTAAAAAGTCGTTTAAAGACCAAGTACAAAGACACGACTCAAGCACATAGAAAAATTCGTGAGGTCCGTTGGTTCGTTCCGTGGCTTAGTTGGTATAGCGTCTGGCACGGCATGCAAGAAGACGTCGGTTCGAATCCGACCGGATCGAAGGAAATTTTTCTGAGTGTTTTTTCTGAGTGTTCGGTCTTTGTATTAATAATTATAATAAAATCAGTTCAAAGCTGAATGTTATTTTTAATAGATTCATAAATTCAAAAATTCCATAAATTGCTTCTACACACAATATATGATTACCGTTGAAACAATTTGTATATTATGAAAGTCCAATCCTGCAAAGCGGTGGTAGCCTAACGGTTTAACCTACCGCCTCTCAAGCAGAGGCTATGGATTCGCATCCAGACTTGTACCTTTGAATTTTCGGACTTTATGAGCGAAATTTAATTTGAAATTTACCACAAGCTTTTCGATGAAGGAAAACATCGTGATGAAACTTGCACATCGAAGAAGATTTGTCAGCTCTCGCACCAGATTCGTGGGGTATGAATAAAGATGAAGTAAATCCTATAATACAATCCTATCCTTGTTTTATTCGTAAGTCAAAAATAATACCACAAGTCTTCAAAAAGAATGTATTACATTATTCCAGGTCGCACTGTACGCCTAAACCATAGATTCCCAAACTTTTTAGCTCACCGCTCACCTAAGCAAGATATATATATATACATATATGTAGTGTATAAATGTAGTGTAAATAGATCATTCTGGTTGTTTGCTTTGCTTCCGAGGCCCTTCTGTCCGTTTACTGGTCCCTACGGTCCGTACCGTAGGGACCAGTTTGGGAAACTGTGTCCTAAATGAGTCATTTTTTTACTTAAGCATAGACCGCTAAAAGCTATGTAACGTATTTCTACAATATGCACCGGTTAAGTTCCAAGCGACCAATTATATGGGTACGTCACTAAATCAAGACGTCGTCGATCTAGTACGCCACCAAAATTATCTGTGTCATAAATTGTGTCACTACCCGGTGTTGTTAGTAACTAAAAACTAAGTTTTTTGTCTAAGCCTATTAAAAGATAATGTGGTCGTATAATCGGATACTTGAACGTAAAATCATGTTCGCTAACACGAAATGCGCTTTTGTATCAAAAAATCCCGCGGTACTGGTATAGATGAAATTAGTAAGTATACAATTAAGAAAAGTAAACGTTAAAATGTTATTTGTAATTTCTTGTTCACTTTACATCATATATCGAAAGCGAAAACTGCAAAAACTTGGAATAAAAAAATTGTAAATTTAATGTTTTACCGCAAACATTGTACCTTTGTTAAAGTTTAAATTTGACACGTCTAGCTGTTCACTGTACTGAGATTCATTTCATATTCTTGGTCATCATCAAACGTTTAAGATTTATAGTGAGCGGAAATGGTATATATTTAAAATATAGAAATCGTAAAATGTCAATGTAAATTTTAAAAAAAAGTTTCGCGCAGTTCCGGCATCCCATGAAAGAAGAATAAAAATTATATAAAAAAAGTCACATCCATATTTTGACAGCATTAACTGGAAAAAGATAACTTTGAGTAAAATAAATAAATAAATAAAAAACATCCGAATATCCGGCCGCTAAAAATAACTAACAGTTCCTTAGACTTTTTTTAATCATTTATCATGGCGGTAACATTTGACAACAGCTGTTTTAATAGGTTGTCGTAACCTCCCAACCAATAAAACAATATAGTTTTCACTTCTCATGCTCTTAAAGTTCGTATTTCGTATGCTGTGTGTAGGCTGCATAAAATAGAATTTTATACTCTAGTCATTGACATACAATTATATGGACTTCGGGTCCGCACTAAAAAGTGTCCGAACTTATAGGGCGTTAAAATCGTATACAGAGCGTCATTCACGCTTTAGTCTTCGTTTGTTTCTTCTGACAGCGAAGCAAGCAAGATTAGACAGTACTGCGATGACATTACAATTTAAACTCAACGTTTTAGCTTTTTCATATTCCTTTACATGTCACTACGTTTAAATAGGTTGACTTGGGACATTTTTTTCGTGGTTTTTGTATTAGACCCGTCGTCCATTTATTTGTAAGTCAATGACTCTAGTGCATAAAATAGGATTTTATGCTCTAATGCATAAAATAAAAAAAACATCAAATATGTCTAATTCTTGTAATTTTACATTAAATTTTAATTAAATAATCGTATATATGTAATATTGCTGTTTAATTTCCTAATCGAAGTGAAAAGCAGAGTGTACAACTCGTTCATAAAACCCATTTTACCCTCGACTTAAGTATCCACTCTCGCCAGCGGCTCGGGTGGATACATTCGTCTCGGGTGAAATGACGCGTTTTATGCACTTGTTGTACAATCTACTATTTATACTTTGTAGCGACGTTGTTTTAGAGGTTGTGGTAACCCCCCAGATAAGTCGGAAGCATTGTTAATTTGGCAACTGTATGAAAGCTAAAGAGCTTTTTATTATATATTTTCCGGTCTATAAATATAAAAAAAATATTTGACATTGTAATTTTATATTTATTGAATATCACGATGTTTTATTACCGTAATATTATTTTTGTGAAATTACTCCACTATATAGTTTGTTATAATTAATGTGGCACAGCCACAATATGGCGAGGTTGCTGGTTCGAGTCCAGCCGAATCGAAACGATTTTTCTGTGTCCGATCTTTGTGTTAATAATTATATTTCACTCTGTTTGGATTTTGATTCGAAGGTGAAGGTGACATACGAGCTGGAGGGTGATAATGTGCTAAAGCAGGTTATTAAGCAACGAGATGGAAAGATCGCCCATTTTCGAAGGGAATTTGGGGAGAAGGAAACCAAAATGGTGAGTGATTTCTAACTGCATAGAGCACCTAAAGGACCTACACGACCTAACTTTTCCGCGAGGAAACTTGCTTGCTTTAGTTTTACTTGAGTAGATTTTCATTCGCCGCGGATAAAGCCGGAAGGGTTTTGTGAGCGAAGCTTGTAATTAGTAAATAAGTATTTTATTCTGTATTTTGGTCAATAAAATAAAAAAAATACTGTTTATTAGGAAAACCGTACCCCTTGTAAAGGCTTTAAAGTTTTTGAAGTCATAATGAATTATAACATGAAAATCACGCCGAGTGAGCTCCATTGTTGCAAACAAATTCCCGCCAGAATATCATCGAAAAAAAATCGATTTAAAAAGCGTTATATTTTCAAATTTATTAGGAAATAACCTGTTTTTGCGTCAGTGTATAACTTGCCAGTATCAAACAAATGAGTAAAGACATTGACTTAGAAATAAATGGACGACGGGTCTAATACAAAAACCACGAAAAAAATGTCCCAAGTCAACCTATTTAAACGTAGTGACATGTAAAGGAATATGAAAAAGCTAAAACGTTGAATTTAAATTGTAATGTCATCGCAGTACTGTCCAATCTTGCTTGCTTCGCTGTCAGTCGAACAAACGAAGACTAAAGCGTGGATGACGCTCTGTATACGATTTTAACGCCCTATAAGTTCGGACACTTTTTAGCGCGGACCCAACGTCCGTATAATTGTAAGTCAATGAGTAAAGAGTATCTAATTTCTTTTGGCATGACCCTCGTACGTAACGTATTGGCTAATGCGAAAAGGACCGTGTTTTGTCATTCCGCAAAAGCTGCATCGAAATTCATCGCAAAAGTTTAATTGTATTTAAAGATTTCTCTTATTGTTTTCTTGTTACAGACCATAACACTGGAAGGCGTAGATAAAGTAGCTACAATATATTATGAAATGGTCGAGTAATAGGAAATAACTAGTATTTTACCACTAGTAATTACGGACTTTATTTAAATTATTTATTACCATCAGTATTTAGATACTTTTTAAGATTACAAGGTATGCCTTATATATATAACTACACTAATGTATTTGAAAATAAATCTTCATAGATTCTTAAGCTGTTTAATTTTTATTTATTAAATATTGATGGCTTTCTAGAATAGTGGCCAATCTTAAAAGCATTTAATTCACCTTGAGAAAATGATTTAAAAAACTGGGAAATATCAAACTGACATATCGTACTGAACTCAACGTTGTCATGTCTATGTACAATTCACAAAAAAAAATCTTTTCAACAAATCTCAGTGATAAGTCAAGAAAAAGTATTTTGTATTGGGCCACCATTTTTGAAACGCAGCGATATGTAGTTTATTTTATTTATTGTGAAAATCTATAACTTTGGTAGTATGATTCCTTTTCAGTCCACGACCACGACATAATATTTCATGGTACTAAGGGAACAAAACAGAAGTATTAACTACATAGATAATATAATATATATGCGATAGATACTTAATATAATATTTATCTAGTTCTTAGGTTTTCGCGGTTGTATATACATAGGAAATAAAACTGTTTTTTTGGGATCTGAAATAGCAGAATATATTTTTTTCAATCAGTCTAACGTTTCGGACTCTAGGTCCCATGGTCACGTCTGCTGTTTGACGTTGGTTTGTTTGAAAAAACAAATATACACGCTATAAGAAATTGGCGATTTAAGAAAAAATAATTTCATTATATAATATTTGACTGGAAGATTAAATTTGAATTAGAGAATATTAAGATTGAGAGCTCAAATGAAACCATTAATTCGGATTACTGTTTTTTTATAAGAAAAAAGAAACGACCTCAAAAGTTCGTGGTATTATATCTATTTGCCAAATTTTATTGAAATCGGTTACCGGAAAGTGCGCGAAACCGGATTCATACCCTAGCTTGACACGCTTAGAGATGGAATATTGTCTACAAATTTAAATGGGACTGAGGTACCCTTTTTCCAACAAAAAACAAAATCGGCTCAAAAATTTGCTGCCAAATTAGAGTTAGCGCGCACCAAATATAAAAAAAAACAATCGAATTGAGAACCTCCTCCTTTTGTCAAGTAGGTTCACCTGATGGAAAGCAACGATGAGGTCGACGATGTGGCATGCACCATTGCACATATAAATAATGCCTATTCACTCTCACTTTGCAAAACGAAAACCAAAATAACTCGAGTAATTTTATAATTGCCTGAATTATATGTTATTTAAGGCAAGGATTTTAATGGATAACATACTTATGTCACAGCAAAACCAGAAAGAAAGGAAGAAAGAGACAAGAAAATAAATAAATATTTCCATCCTCTAAAAGTTCGGAACTAGGCTCTTGTATTAAACGCCATTTTGTTTTCCCATAAACCTCCTTCTCCGACGCTAATTCTCCCTGTATCCGATCGAAATAGCTTCACTTTATTCCTCCTTCCCGCTGACCTTCTACATTTCCTTCCAATAGATATAATCGTCATTTCATATTAAACATAAGTATACATAGTATTACCATGTATTACTGTAGTAATATTTCAACATCGCATTAAAACCAACCAGTCTCCTCGTCCCCATAGATAGACCATAGACAATAGCGTACAATAATAAAGGGCGTGCCTATGCTAAACCGACGCGAGTGATATGCGCGCGCAACGGAGACATTATGCTAATGAGATTAATAAATTTAAACAGGCTTTATTTACGGCCAACTTTGCTTAATGAAGTCAGATACCATTCCAAACAAAAAATAAGTTCTTTGTTTGTCATGTACACTGGGAATATTTACTAATTCGCACAATTTTTGATAATTAGAATAGCTAATTGTAGTTTACGTGGATTGTCTATGATTTGTCTCGATCGCATACGTCACATGTGCGGATGTGGAAGGGGTCAGTTAGGGTTAGGTCATAGATCATACACTATAAGGTTCGATCGTCAACCCGGAGGAACGTGTGGCGCGTAGGCAAGCCAAATACACTATTATTTATAGAAGCGGACGCTACAGTAATGTAAGGTGGTTGGTATAATAGTACCGGCACACCAACAAATACACAAACAACTGCACACAACAAATGCACAGGCGAAACTCTCACTGTTGCACATCTCCAGACCTCCAGACTAATGGGTACGATCCATATATAAAAAACGTTAACTGATAAAAAATTACGAGATGGCCTGAATTTGGAAAATTGCAAAGTTCATCAAAATTCAAAATGGCGGGCGAAAAATTTTTATTCTCGTTACAAATTGGTATCTTTAGGGGTCCTTAATTAAGTTTTTTCTACCATTTTCCACCTTACAAACGAAACCCGGATCATTCGCAGGGGATGACTCTGAGAATACACCTAAGTCGAATATAATAAAGAAAATTTAATATGTTCTAAAAAATTAATGTAACGGTGGTCGTTCGTTTTTGTAAGCTTATTTATCTAGTATTTCTCATTGAAAGTGAATGTTCGTATTCTGTTTTGAGAAATAAAAGCCTTAAACCATAAAATTCCCTAATATAAGATCAGGTGGACGTAATGCAGTATGATTGGCTGACACGTTGAGCAAACCTGCAACATAATCTGCGTTATCCGTGCGTATAGTGATCGATGTAGGTCACCGGTTGCCTTTTGGGGCTACGTTATGAGCCATGCGTGCGCGCAGTGTCTGCGAATGTCACATGACGGCCGGTCGGACTCTTTAATTGATGGCGTTAAATTACACGCTAAAAGTCATGTCGGACAAACTTTTAAAGAGAAATAAACACCTTTATGTCAATATATATAAATGAACGCGTATTTTACTTTAAAGAAAATAGTTTAAATTATTGATTAGAAAAATTCTGAAATTTAATTAAGCCTAAGTATTTAATCAGTAGTTATAAATGTAAACAAAATTAAATGCGCAAAATACGGCTTTTAAACGAGCTTTTTTATTTGGTATTTCGAATTTGACATTTCAGTAACGACAGCAATGGTTTTTTTTAATAAGGCAATACCAGTATTGATTTAAGATATGCGCAAACTCACTAGATGATAAATAATTTAATACCTATAGTAACACCTAAAGACAAAAAGAAATAACCTAAGTGACCAAGTTTTACAAAATTTCCAACAAAAGGCACCAAATCCTTAGCTCTTTGAAATTAGTCTACTTAACAAAAAGTAACCAAGAAGCCAAACTCAATTCTACGAAATAAAATAAATAAACAAATAAACTTACATTACGTTTTACTGTAACACCAGCAGGTATGTACGGAAAATAATGGGCATATCAAAGTATTCATTAGAAATCAAGTGAAATGAAGTATAATCTTATGACAGCTATAGGTGCTGTACAGTAATCCTCTACACGGTTGCTATCACAATAAAACTATACAAGCCACTCGCACTATACTTGTTTGTGATTTGTGTAAACACCACAAATTTGTAAAAGCTTTGTGAAGTATAAACATAAATAGTATATTATTGCAGAGGTCGGGAAGTAAGGGATTCTGTTTTTTATAAAGTATTGTTTATGTTAGCGATGATCATACAAAAAAATGCAATATTGTATTTTATGTAACGTTGGCAAAATGAAAAGTAAACAATAGCGCGCTCAGTCTTTGTGACATTTTAAATTCATTTAAATCTAATACAGCTTTTGCACTTTAGAACTAAAAAAAATACGCCGACGTTATTATTTCATCGCCGACTGAATGAATTGATGATGGAGAGCGTAATCCCTGACTCAGCATCAATTTATGTTAGAGGATGTTACCCTCAACATATGTATCTCTCGAGAACTCTCCTACATCAATAGTTACAAGTAAATAAATAAATGAATAGTCCATGGAGAAAACGATCAAAGTCACTTGGAGAGAATTTTAGTAAAAAAATATTTTTAATTTATAGAACTTTTAAATATTGGTGAAAAAGACACGCACAAATACTACCCGATATGAAGCCAATGCTGACATAAATGTATGTAACGCTACGTAATCCGTTTTAACTAAAAAACATTTATAAATCATTTTTCTACCATTTAGTCGAAAGTGTTTTTATAAGTAAAAGTACATGCTAATTTTTCACGACATTGAACTATTAGCCTTTTTCTTATTTAGGCAAAATACGCTCAGCGTTTACCGAACTTGAAAGGCGGAAATAACTCAAAGCCTTAAGTTAAGTGACTTGGATAATCTGATCTCTTCAAATGTCATTATATTATAATTATACACTACTATTATTGTATATCCAAATAGAAGTATTAAAGCATATCTAGACAACATAAATGGACGACTCCAAATGAAGAGACCCTTGTAGCGTGTGAACCGTCACAAATCCTGGGATCAGAAGTCCCAATTGGGCCCTAGAATCTAACTTATAAGCAAAAATATTACGAACGTATATAACTTCATCTCTACCACGAGTTTACAGTGTCCATAGTCGCTAGCGACTACGTAAAATATTTGTATAGACAATGCTAGTTCTTCTTGTGACTGCACTCTACAATTTGTTACACAAAAGTGGCATCTATTTTAACTAGTCACTATGTATCGTTCGATACCGTAAAGTCATAGTACAGATACAGCATAATAACTCAAAATTAATAAAATGCACCTGGTTCTGTATTGCCTCAGCACTTATTTATAAGCACTAGTTCATTAACAAGGCTTTATCTACAAACCGTCGTATATTTTGAAAATTTATGACAATTTCTCGTTAGCCCTGAATCCTGACCGAAAAGCAGCATCTTAGGCAACTTAGGTATAAACTAAGTCAACGCCCTTTCGCAGCTATAGTTATGACAAAAAATTTAAGTTTTTACACTATAACTGTGTCGTATGAATGAATAAAGTCGTTATCTATATATCTAAATTATCTGCTGATTACTTCCCTATCTTTCAAGATAGGTAACACTCACTTTGTCAATAACACCTGTGTTTTAAAGATACAAAGTAATTTATTTGACTGCCTCCGTGGCCGAACGGTTACCATGCCGGACTGCCACGCAGAGATCCCAGGTTCGATTCCCGGGCCGGGAGAAATATTTATAAGGCCTACATTTATTTCTCTCGTGAGTTTGGGTGTAATTTGTGGTTGTCTATGTGT